TCAGCTTAGGTATGAATGGTCTTCGTCAATACAAGGCCTCAGTAAGTGATAGGAACAGTCTCCATTGGGACATTAGGTGAAGTCGACCTGATAGCACGAGTGAGTGGTGTTTTTGAGAGAGATCGGAACTGTGTGTTAAAAACACACGTAAGTCATTAAATAATCTGCTGTGAAAATCAGATCATTAACCATTTGAAGTTCAAAAGCATGAATGGAACAAAGGCAAAATTAATGTATCAAATCAAGACACTCCTTATGTACAGTGGGTCACAAGGAGGCTACCATGACCCCTTTATGGGGTTTCACTCGCCCAGTTCTGTGGACAGCAACTTGGAGCCTGAAAGGAAGAGGGACTCACACCACCTTGTTCTATTCCGAATTAGTCTAAGCATTGCTCTTATTCAGAACTGATTAGCCAGAGTTGTTAGTTTTTTTAAAAAATTGCACATATATTCCACATAAACTCTATCACCCATACAAGAAACAAGAAGTGAAGCAAGTGTGTCCCACAAGTTTATATGGTTGTTCTTTTATAATATTCTCTCTCTCTTTTCTCTTTTTTTTTCACCAAAATTCCTTTCCTTCTGATAAATTCACCCTTTCAGGTGACTCTGTGTTGCACCTCAAATACAGATCACCCAAAACTAAGATTTATTAATGTTTCTTGGTTACTTAATATTATAAGCATTCATATCATCAATTACATATAGTGGAAAGCCAACGATCCATTAGGAAATACATGAATATGTTCATATGTTCATCAGGGAAGACCAGAGGAAAAGTCCAAAGTCAGGTACCACCCAATCATTTTTTAACAATGTTTGATGAGCCTGCAGTGTAACTGCATCAGTTTCATATTGTTGCTGTAACACATTACCACAAACTTAGTGGCTTAAAACAACAGATTTATTATCGTACAGCTCTGGAAATCAACGTCTGAGATCAGTTTCACTTGGCTAAAGACAAGGTGTCTGTCAGCGTGTCGTCCCTGGGGATGCTCTGCAGGTGACTGGTTTCCCTGCGTTTTCCAGTTTCTAAAGGCTGCCCACATTGCTTGTGTCACGGCCCTGCGCCAGCGCCACTGTGGTTTCTATCATCATGCTTTCTTTGACATTCCTGCCAACCTCTTAGAAAGATCCCATTTTCACCTGGAATGATTCAGGAACATCTTTGCATGTCAAGATCCTTAACTTAATCGCATTTGCAAAGTCCCTTTTGCATGTCAAGTAACATATTCACGAGTTCTGGGGATTAAGAAGTGGGTATCTTCGGGAGCCCATTATTTGCCTTCCATGGTAACTATCATCACTGCAGTCAATTAACTGAATCTAAGAGAAGACTGACATGCATTTTGTCCATAAACAGTTGTCAACATGGATCCTTCTGAAGGTCCTCATCCTGCTGTTTGCATTAATTTATGAATATGTAAACCATTCTGATTCTTGAATATATTTAAGTAAACTGGCCTGTGGTAGACTGCAGCATGATTACAATTCCCTCCTTGTAATCATTTATCTTTGCAAAAGTAAATTTGCAAATCCTCCCATCAAGAGGTAGAGTCTTTTTCAGCACATTACTAACCTGGGTTATTTTGTGGCAATTTTGACCAATATATTACAGAGAAGTCATGTGCCGCTTCCGAGCACAGACCCCTACAGACTTCATGAAGCTCCACTTTCTTTCTTGAGACTCAGCTGGCTTGTGCACAGCACTGGGCTCCCTGCTGGAGGAGGAGATACCACATGGGCAGAGCTGAGCAGTCCCAGCTCTGTAGCCATCCTAGAATAGACAGACCTCAGCTGACTTGGCAGCTGACTGTGTCTGCACGAGTGAGACCAGGAGAAAAGAGAGAAACTTCCCAGCTCACTAGAGACTGGGTAAGTAAGAATAAATCCTTATTGTTTAAAATTTAAATAAGTTTTGGGGTGGTCTGTTACATGACAATTGCTAACTGACACACTGCCTTACACAATAACCATTTATGTCTCAGTGTTACAAGTAGGTATGTCATGCTCTCAAAGATTTATAATCTTAGATTCTTGTGAGTTCTTAAAAACTGTTTTAAAATCATGTTCCACACCATTTATTTGGGATCATGCTGGCGTGAATTTATGTCTGAGTTACAGTTCCCTCACAAGCATAAAAATCTTCAGTTCGGAAGTTCACTCTAAGTTGCTTTTACAGGGTGTGGCAGAAATGATAAGAATAGGTTGTATTTCTTTTTGGAAATTATCAAATATCAGTAGGCAAAGTTATTTTAAGAATTTCTCATTCATTTTCTATAGTATTTATGTTAGGTAAATTGCTTTAACAAAAGCTCTGGGATACAGTGAATATTTTTTGGGGGGTTGATATTCTGTCTCTTTATCTGTTATACTAAAGATACAGTGAGCTTGCATACTTATAGAAAATAAATACTGACTCTTGGAGTTTCTTTATCCAATTAGCAGTTTTAAACACCAAACTATCCTTAAATGGATACTTTTTAATAATGATATATTTCTCCTATATGCTCAAAATGCTTTAAACAAATACATACATATCTGTAAACACATATGCATACATATAAAATATTCTACACCTTTAAAAATTCTACAATTTATAGATTGAACCTCAATAATTCTATAAATTTTTTCTATTTTTTTCTAAGTGTCAATTTCTGACATTTCCTTCTACAGCAACATTAAAATGCAGTTAATTGTTTAGTATGGTTGAGATGATTCAATCGTAAAAACTTTTCCTACCTAAAATTATTTTCAATCCTTGCTTAAATATCATAAATACTCAATACCTTGCCCCATATCACCAATATCTCAATAAAGTTTCCATAAGTATGTGTCATAAAGTAGCTAGAATGTTTTTATATAGTTTATTCAAACAAAGGTTACTTCATTACTTTATAATAATAACATAACTTATTGATATGAGGAAGAAAAAAGGATTTATAGAAACAAAGCCTTAAGAGTTACATTATATATAATTACTTTGCTTTAGCATGAAATATATAATTTCAAATGAAGTTGAAGGAGGATCTTTTCACATGACTAATGAAATAACAAAATACTTCATTGGAAGAGAGCAAGTTAATTTGTCACTGGTTTATTTTTTCCTTTTTCCTCCTTGTTCTAGAAATATTATGGAATTTACATAGAGAGTTTTACAAACATTCATAATACTCACTTATATAAACTGATTCTAAAAAATAACATGTGTCTGGTGTGGATGATAAATTTATAATTGCACAATCCAGGTTTCATATATTTAGAGAAACACCACATTATGACATAGTACCTTGGAATATCTAGAACACAGTATATCAAATATGCTAACCAGATTCCACTTTTGCAAACCAAAATGGTGGTTTTCATGTATCTGCTTCTTTCTCTAACTATTTTTATGGCACTTGATCCAAAATCACATACCATACCCATAGAAGTAATCTCACATTTTAACAGAAAACTTTAGAAATGCTTAATTTCTTTACTATTACATATAAGCAGTTACATCTGCTCCAGAAGAAGATGGGTTATATTATATAATTTATAAGGATGACTATTTCTACCTTTGGCCATTTCTTTTGTCAATTATCTTGAGTAAACATCCAAAATTGTTATACGTAAGTCAACCAAGATTGAATGGAAACTCTTTCTATTGCTTTACCTTTCTTAATTTATTAAGATAAAAAAATTAATTATATTGTAAGTATCTATGTTAAGTGTACGCCAATCCCTAGACATCCAACTAAAAGATATGACAAAGCTACCAAAAGCATTGTACCTGTAGAATAGAAAGCGGGAAATAAAGCCCTCAAATTAGGGATTGGCAAATGGTTGTACTTTTTTGAGAAATCCTCTAGTTTTAACATAACTTCATAAATATAATTTTATATCCCTTTTTCTCTTTAAACTATGTCAAGTTATTTGATGCACAATAATAGTCTCATTGTAACTACTATACATGTCCCAATAGAAAAATAGGAGAAATAAAACAAGTATTAGCAAAATTATTTTTATTGAAAACTTTTCTATTTCTGTTAATCCTTCTACGAAGGCTCATTATCCATCAACAAGAATAGGACTGCACCTTCCTAATCACTGTCACTAGGTGAAACAAATAAACAAAAAACCAACAAAGCATAGAGTTGCATTTCAGTGGAAAACCCAAGATCAGTTATTAATTCTTTATTAAATTCAGTTATCATCTCTTATGTTGGTGCTCAGATGAATTTTAATAAATTCAATCAATTCCAGTTTAAACAATAGTTGCTTTCAATTGACAACAGAAGTATAAATGTGGTGTTTGTTAATAATGCTGCTAATCCTATTTCCTGTGTTTGATAATATGTCCCTCTAGCTAATAGACACATTCCATATTGCAACATTGTAGTACACTAAAATCACTGAGGCATGATCATCATTTACCGCAAAATATTCCAGACTCTATGTCTAGCAGTTAAATATATTATCAATAATCCTCACAAAATCCTTGTAAAGTAGCAGATTAAGACATTTGTATTCACAAGGTTAAGTGTCATGCAACTAGAGCAGTAAATGGGGGGTTTTTAGGATAAAATCTAGGTCACTCTGGTTTCAAAGCCTTTACTTGTTCTATTTCACTATCATTATTGATAAATCCTCACTGAGCTCTAGTTAAATACAGCACCGTTTGTTAGATGTTTGAAGTACAAAGAGTGGTAAGAAATTGTTCCTGCCTCTAAAGAATTTAAACCTTGTTGTGTAAGCAAGGCACATATACAAAGAAACCCCAGCATAAGAGGGCCTATCAGAGCTGATTTTGTGGGAGTGAAAGGAGGCAGAGCCCCCAGTGGAACATGACACAGAGGCAGTCAATAAAAGAGGATGCCACAGTTCACACTATTACATGGCTTCTTCAGGACATCTGTCTAGAGTACAGGAAAGGGGAAAAAAACATTACATGCTTAGAAATAAATGGTAGGCTAGCAACCACTTGGCTTGTCAACTGTAAATGGATACCCTCAATCAATGGCTTCTTACCTTTCGGCCGTACTCAGCTGGTCCAGCTGGGCTGTTTCCACTCCTAGGAGCCTCAAACACACTCCTCAGTTTATCAAGAGCAATGGAGAAGCGTTCGATCCTGCGCGGACCTCTCAAGGGATCCTCCTTCAGCACTTCAGGCCGGCCATGTTCCCTGGGGTTCTCGCCCTTGTGCTCAGGGCTCATTTCCTCGGGTTCTGAGTTCAGCATCGCTCCTGCGCTGCAGGGCTGACTTGGAGGACCTGGAGGTCCCGGTGCTGACACTGCCTCTCCAGGTTCAAGCAATCGGCTCTTTTGAGGCTGGAAGAGCCTGCAGTGACTGCCCCCAGGACAGCACCCCACCTTCTGGTGATCACCGGATTCCCATTTCTGTCTCAGGAGGCTCAGGGAGCCCCGCTGCACGGGGAACATGGATGGCTCCAGGTTGACCTGCGATATCAAAAGTATCTTTCATCAAAGATATGCTCAGGCATGTGAGCCATTTTCAAAACACAGTTTTTAGGATGGCCAGCTCTTGGGGGTTATGTTACAGTGTAGAAATCCCGCTTTCCTAAGTAATTTCCAGCTCTTTACTTGACCCTACAAAGTTCTGTCAGTTAACCTAGAATTAGATTACGGAGAGGACTCATTTATACAGTCATGGACATTTGAATGTGAAGAGACAAAATCTAGGAAGACATGATTTTATTCCCTTTCCCTCTATGTAAAATCACCCAACAATTATTTACAATGTCAAACTTGGACAATGTTCATTCATTAGTTGGTATACTTGAGAACATAGCAATTTAATGTCTAACATGAAAGAAAAAGGTTCATTTCCTGCCTATAACAGTTCAGGATTTCTTTTGAAATGATTGGTTTCTGCAAATGTTGTCCTTCAGATGTAAAAGACAGACATCTAACAGTTATTAAGTTTTTGCTATAAGGTAAGTCTTTTGATAATAACTTTATATTTATATCTCATTTTAATCCCACCATTATCACAATGAGTTAGTTGCTTCCATGATTACTATTTTCCAGGTAAGGGAATTGAGAAGTAATTTACCCAGGGTTTTGAGTGACAAAGCCTAAATGTAAAGTACGTCTTGTGACTCCAGATTTTGCCCTCTTAGCCCCTGGAGTGTAACGTCTCTTTCATACTTTAAGTGTCCAATTCACATCTTATTGTGAAACTGATTAGAATTTCACCTTGTTTCACAGTTTTGTGGAGAGTGGAAATAAAACCAAATGGCAAAATGAACTCTTACCAGAAATGAATACACACGTACAAACACAAATCATAGGCAGTAAGAGTTGCACACTTGCATGAATTTTTGCCCTAGAAATAGCTAATTTCTATTCTAACCCAGAGAGTCTACCCTGCAAATATGGGGCTTTAATTAATTTTGCTCTTTAGGATTGATGCATTTTCCCAGAAAAGTATTAGCACAGTGGGTATGGTAAACAATCTCACTTAGATTAAGGCCTGGAAGTATCTCAAAAGGTCACCTAATACACTGGCTCCATACTTATTTGACTGCAGACCACATTATAAAATAACATTTTATGCACTGGGACTCAGTGCATATATAACATAAATACAAATAAGTAAGTAAATAAATAAATATAAAAGAAATGTTTGTTCTCTTTAAATAATACTTTCCCTTATTATATGAAATGTCCAGTAATAATTTTTACTCTGATAACCCTCCACTTTTAAAGCAAATGTTTGCTACCCACTAAATTGATGTAATAATGGTCTACTAATGGTTCATGGACTGCTTAACAGTTCTATACTTAATAGCAGGAGTTCAATCCCAGGTTGGGTTTTAGTAACTGTATGACCTTGCAAAAGCTTCATTGGTAAAATGAATTTATATACATTGTGGCTTTGAGACATGCATTAGATAATACATATGAAACTTGTGTATTAGATCCCCTAATAGCCATTTAGTCCCATTTCAGGCTTAAACATCATTATAATCACTCAATATCCATGCTACACATGAGCCTCCTAGATTGGAGTGCCTGGGAGAAGAAGGGTGAATTAAGCTGAAAATTCATAGACTGAACATACTGTAAAATTTGGCTTTAATACTATTGCTAATTAATATCACTGGACTGGCCACTTATTACAGAAAGTCTCAATAAAACAGCAGCACCAAACAAGACCTGAATATCTGTTTGGGAAACTGATCAGTACGTGTTGAAAATCTAATCAACATATGCTGAAAATGTCTGTTTTCTCATGTATAAAAAGACTTCAGAAAAAGATCTTATTAACGAGGGAATGTTTGGGACATTGTCACAGCTGGTAATAGTGACCTCATGAGGTTATTTAATGAAAAAATTATTTCTGAACTAACCTTGCACAGTTGGGAACAGAAAGCTAGGAAGAAGAAAAAGTTGAGGAAGAAAACTAATTTTTTTCCTCATATAGAACAGGAAATCCTAATATTTAGAAGTGATTTGGAACTTTGTGTTATAAATAAAGATGGAATAGACATACTTTCCTCTACATTAAATACAGCTAAAAACTCTCTATATATAAAACAGACATAAAAGGACTTTGAAAGGTAGCCTGCCTAAGTGCCTGGGGACTGGGGGAATAACGCGGTGGTGATCCCCTGAGTTCTCTTTTAGCCTTACATATCCAGATCTTGGTGCTGGAGGACCCAGAAACTGAAGACTCCAGTGGGAACAAAGAAAATTCCCCAAGAAAAGCCATTCTCTCTAGTCAAAGAAACAGGACAAGGGCAACTTAGCAAAACACAAAACTTTTAGACCATGATTGCTATGCTGTAGGCAAACAGTGGACTCATACATATGTCATTTTTTCTTTCATCGACCAGTTCTCTAACTCTCTGGACTCCAAATGGGCATCTACAGTGCAATTCAGTTCTGACACTACCTGGCATTAGTGGAGATGCCAAACGTTAGTCTCAGTCTCATAAGTCCACTCCCACCTCAGAGGGTAGCCACAAGTCTCAGGTTGTACCCTGTACTTCTGACCAACTATTAGTTGGGATTCCCATGATCCCCCTACTCAGGTACATAATTTGCTAGAACATCTCACAGAACTCAGGAAGGCACTTTACTTACATTTACCTGTTTATGATAAAGGACACAACTCAGGAACAGACAAATGGAAGCGATGTATAGAACAAGGCGGTGGGTGGCGATGCAGAGCTTCCATGCCCTCTCCTGGAGCGCCACATGCAACACCCTGTGTGCTCTTCAATCCCCATGGTTTAGGGTGCTTTATGGAGGTTTCGTTTATAGGCGTTTTGATGCAATCATTGGCCATCTGTGATTAATTCAATGTCCCCATTCCTCTCCCCTCCTCAGAGGTCAGGGCACGGGGTTGAAACTTCCAATCCTCTAATCATGCTTTGGTCTGTCTTTGGTCTTTCAACCCCCATCATGACTGTCTAGGAACTCCAGCCTCCAGTCATCTCATTAGCATAAAAAAGGCACTCATTACCCCAGAGAGTCCAAAAGTTTTAGGGGCTGTGTGCCAGGAAGTAGGCACAACAATCAAATAATATTTCTTACAAACGCCATAAAAAATGCTGACTTTGCTCCTCGCTGTCCCCTCCTCCTGCCGCCCTGACGGTGTCAGAGAAGGCCCAGCTGGGGGCCAGGATTTTCATCCGCACTCCACGTACTGAGCCCTCCCCAAAGTGTCGGCGGATGCCACGTGGGGATCGCGTACTTCTGCACCCCCTAGTGGCAGCAAGGTGTTTCTCCCCGGTCCTGCTTGCATCAGGGACGTGCAGCAGGCAGCGAGAATTTTCACCAGCGTTCACTGTTGGTGAGGCTTCTCTTCCAGCAGCGGCGTCAGTGCAGGCTACACGGGAAGCGGGGAAGGGGGTGTTTCTCTCTTTTCCAGGAAGCCAAGGTGGTATCAGTGAAAGCCCAGCTCCACCTAATAGTAACAGATCACCCCTTTCCAGACAAATGAGGCTGACTAAGGAAACTGGGTTTCCATTCCCCATTTGGAAATAATGAGGCAACTCCTCCCTTCATCTTCCGAAACAGAATCTAAGACCCAAAGTTCATAACATAATTGCCCAGATGTTCAGGATACAACTGAAAATCACTGGTCATACCAAGAGCCTGGAAAACCTAATTTGAAGGGGAAAAAACTGTCAACAGACATCCATACTGAGATAACTCAGATATTTGGAATTATCTGAATTTTAAAGTAGTCTTCATAAAATTGCTTCAATGAGCAATTATAAACATGCCTGAAAAAAAATTTAATGGAAAATATAAGAACCAAATGAAAATTGGATATAATAACCAAAATAAAAAAACCACTGGATGGTCTCAGCAGAATGGAAAGGACACACACAAAAAAAAAAAAACATCAATGAATCTGAAGATAGAATGACATAAATTATCCAATGTGAGCAACATACAAAATACAAAAAAAAAAAAATCAGGGCTCAGTGACACTGTAACAGAAATCTAACATTCGTTTCACTGCAGTCCCAGAAGAGGAGGAGGACAGTGGTGCTCCAAAAGTATTCAAAGGAACATGACTAAAATTCCCCAAATTTGGCAAGACATGGACCTACAGGTTAAAAGCACTGAGCTAACCACTAGGACATCAAATTTCAGAAAACAAAAGATTTTTAAAACCTTAAAGACAATGAGAAAGAAATGGCATGTTACCTATAGGGGAAAAGCAAATTGAATTTTCAATGTATTTCTCATCAGAAACCATGGAGGCAGGAGAAAGCGGCACAATATTTTTCAAGTGCTAAAAGATGATAACTTTTTACTCCAAATTCTATTTCTACCAAAATTATCTTTCAGAAATGAAAGGGAAAATGATGATGTTCTCAGATGAAAAAAAGCTGAGAGAATTCACTGCCACCAAACTTACCCCAAAAGAAAGTCAAAAGGACTTCTTGAAATATAAAAATTATGAAAGGAGGAATCCTGGAACATCAGAAATGAAGAAAGAACAATAAAAAGAACAAAATCATGGATAAACATACATAATTTTTGCCTCTTAAATATTCTGAATTATGATTGGTGGCTAAAGCAAACAATGTAACACTGATGCAGTTCTCGCTATATGTAGGAAAGTTATTTAGGACAATTTTATCATTAACTAGGGAGGTTAAAGGGACAAAGGAGGTAAAATTTCTACGCTTCACTCAAACTGGCAAAATGCTGACACCAATGGACTGTGATAAGTTATCTATAACATGATATCTAGAGAAACAACTGAAGAAAAACCCATGATGTGTGAGATATGTTTTTTAAAAAAACACTATAGATAAATCAGAATGGATTTTAATGAATAGTCAAGTAACTCTCAGAAACAGAAAACAGAGGGAATAAAGATAAAGCAAACTAAAATAGCAGGCTCAAGCCGTGTGGTATCAATTATTGCATGAAATGCAGTCTAAAAACAGCAGTCAAAAGATGGAGAT